TTTTCTGGTTGCCAAACGGACTTTTGCTTTAACTTGGGAGCATGGAGTACATTGAAAGCTTCTTCTCGGTGTTAGTCAAAAGTGTAGAAGCACAATACGTATGAAAGCTTTGCTGAACACTCTATACCCTCAGATGTAGAAGGGTTTAAAATTAAACAAATAAGGAATAATTTGAGTAGGAACTACAAAATAATAAAAAACTTGAAGTTGAAGTGCCAGAAAACGCTCGATAAGATATTCGATATATGTAATCGGCCAAAATGTTCTTTGAAAAAAGTGCTCACGTTTCTTGCATAAGAGATTCAAACAGACCATCTTGAGTTTCGAAGATCCTATATAAATCATGTAGGCAGATGCAGAATATAATAGAAATAACAAATTAAAACCATAACTAAAATGTTTTTTTCCAGAAGTAAGAAAATGCTCAGCGTCTCCCTTATAGATAGGAGTGTAGTAAAGAGATATGGAAAAACAAGCTAAAATATAAACATGCATATAACATGCATCATATAATAAGTCCAGTTAAAGTGGACGTAGAGTCTACATATAATCCATATTCACCAAACATAATTCTAGCCCATATTCACTTTCTTACTTGTTATTGGATTTTCGAAATGGGTCTGGTGTCTCATGACCCAGACAAAATGCACTAAATCGCAAAATATTACTTATTAAAAATAATATTAAATAAACAAAATCTTGCTGCTCTAATTTTAAAACGCAAATTTATTTTTACAATACCAGCTTAGCTGACTAATCATACTCATACATTCAATTAAATAAGTCAAAACGCATTTAAATTAATCTACCACATAAACGAACACTCGTATATGTAATTAAATATCACCCATACAAACGCACTTATGTAAATGTATAGAAAAGTATAAAACGCCGTCATGAGCTGCATAGAAACATACAAATGTTGGTTAAATGCGTCAGCGATAAGCAAATGGCGGAAGCCAGGCACAGGCACACATACTTACATACAATATATGTTGATATGTATTGCAATGGGCCGAGGTATATGTAAGTACTGCACTGATCATTATCAATGTGTCTCAGGCTAGTGCTACGGTTGATAAATCGGAAAACACTGCATTATAATACATGATACAGTGTCAACTGGATAAATGGAACTAGTTCCATATGTTGTGGAAAATTTAGTTTTCCATAATTTTATTTATAGATTTCATAGATTTCAGAGTTTGAAAAATATGCATTTTAGCATTAATCTCACTTATAGTTTTTGAGCACAGTTTTGTGCTGATTTCAATCTATTTAGTAATATATATTATTGTTGGCGTTTTGCTGAAGTTATATAAACACACTTACTTTATGTTTGTATAAATTTAAAGGTCACAATTTGCCTGTAGTAGTTAGAGCTTACTGTACTGTGTGCAATACCCCTGCGGGCAGGGGATAGAATATGCCCGCGGCAAGGCATGCCTGTCGTAAAAGGCGACTAAAAGCCAATATGCACTATGACTGTTATTATATTCTTTGCCCAGTAATATCAGCATAGTATATGGAGTGATAGTGCTATAATACTCAGCTTGAACTGATATTAGAAACACTTTAAATGAAAAAGCGAATAAAAAGACATTTGAAGTTCAAGCGACAAATGTCACCAGTCATTTGAGTAATGGGTAGCTCAACTGGCAGTAGTTTAGGCTACGCAGTCTGACCGGAGACTTTCCGGTACCACGGGGAGCAGAAAGCCCTTGGACTTCTGTTCAATCTGCTCATTGGGTTCGGCCCTTTGGGGAGTATCGTGGTGGCTGTGGTTTAAACCTAAATGCTGGAAGAACTGAATTTTCAGTTCGAAAAAAGAAGTTACACAAGTAACTGGGTGCCGTACCCGAAAACGGAAGAGGTTTTAGGTCGGCCTCGAATCATACCAAGATGGTAGTGTGGACCCAGACACACTGCCACTGGTATCCAAATAAATACTTGCATAAGCTCGTATTGTTTGAGGCGCTGATCAACGCATTGTATTGATCCGTTGTGTTTTGAACACCGTGAGGTAAGGCCGTCGCCGGCAGGTACTCACGTAAATCTACAACGAAAGTTGTACTGTGTGCAACAGGGCAAATACACAGAAACGAAATTCGCTAAGAATCAATTTTATAGTAAATAGTAATCGAAGACACACTGACCCAGTCACGATTATATCACAAGTAAAATATAAGCATACCATACATATAGATATACTTGTGCATATATGAGTGACGAGCTAGCTAGATTTTCATAGAAATTTAAAAGCGCATAAAGTTGTGTGCTTTTATTAAAACGCTCGGCGATGCCTTTAAGATAGTACTGTACAACGCATTTTATATTAAAACGCCTTTAGCTTTATGCAAACGGAATTAACACATATGTACAATTTATGCATATAAATATGTCTAATTATAACTACAGCTTCGCTTAGTTGGTCAGTGTCATCAAGAAGAATTTGCGTTTTGATTTAAAACATAGAAGTGGGTAATTAGGTAAAGGGTAAAAGATTATTTGTGGACGGTTACGTCGTTATGTGAAAAGTGTGGAGTTATATATACAATGGCACTTAATTGTTGTTTAGCTTTGCACTTTCAAGTCTCTAATCCATATCCTTTACATCTTTTTACTTGATTGTCATAGTAAAAACATCTTTTAACAAGAAAAAAGTTAACTTCGGTTGTACTGAAACATTAATAAACACACAGTTTCCGTAATCTTTGATTTTGATTGATCGATCAGTTTGTATAGCAGCTGTTTTAGTAGCCCGATTTGAAAAAATTTTTAAGAGTTTGTACCGTTGCTTTGAGCAGTGGTTCATGTCAACTTTCGTGAAGATATATCCTCAAACTAAAAAGTTTTCCATACAAGTACTTGATTTATATCGATCAGTTTGTGTGACAGCTATAAGCTATAGTGGTCTTATATCGGCGGTTCCGACAAATGAACAGCTTTTTGGGGAGAAAAGAGTGCAAAATTCAGATCGATATCTCAAAAACTAAGGGACTAGTTCGCGATATACAGATAGACGGACATGGTTAAATCAATTCAACTCGTCACGTTGATCATTTATATACATATTTTCCAGGGTCGCTGTTCAGAGTATAAATGTAAAGAGTGATTCTTAAGAAAAGTATATACTATGGAATTATGTTTGCTTCAACAAGTGATACATATTTCTTTACGCAACAAGGAATATTCGAGATGATGGGGCAAGATTTTCGTCTAAAAATTTAAGTTTTGCAAATCAATGCACAATCGGATCAATTTCAGTTTTTCCTTTTCACTGACCACAGATTATGTTAACTTAAGACTATAAGAACTCAATTGAATATGTCTCAAATTTAAATAAGGCAAATCCAAAAATATTTCGATTCTCGAATTCGTCACTGTATCATCCCCATATTTTTTTTGTTGGGTTAGAAATACTTGTACAATCTGCGACATACTCTAGTACATTTTATTTGATTATTATATTTTTTTAAAATAATATTTTATGTATTGTTTAAAATATATATGGTATATGCATATATAAAGGGATATGTAAGAGGGTAATAAAAACACCTAAATATTTTTATGTAATACTACAAATAAAAAAATTTAAGGCAAGTTCTTAAATATTTCAGAATTAAATAATGTTTTCATGTACATAGTTTTCCAATATTGACCCAATTCAAGTTATGTTGTATTTACAAACAACAACTCCTATTTGCTTGCAATTACTATCCCAAAACAAATATTTATTATAATGTCTATAATGATTTAAATTTCATTAAAATTAAAATTAATACGCTCTCTTTTCTTCTCAGTCGTTTTGATAAGTATTTTCTTTTACCGGCAGTTATTAGCTATATATACGGCGTTTGCTTCAACATTAATTTTATATGACTAAGTGCTAGTCTAATTGCTTCTAAGAAATGAAACCCAACGATGTTCTTCCTTATAGAAGCATAAAACTTTTCGCATTTGATAACGCAACCTATATAAAATACATATAAACAGTAGTAGGAGATATCACGGGTAGACATCAAGTCCACAGTGACTTATTCATAGTTCTTACCCGGAACCGAAAGAGGCAGCTACAAGTGCGATAATCTGTAGAAATTCCAAATAACAATTCCAATAACATATATTTACATATATACAATTTTAGTAATCTGTATGTGAATTTGAATGCTTGCGCAGAGGGCAAACTTTGTGTTATTTGAAAATTTCCAAAGAAATGCTTCTTATATGTTTTAATTCTCTTTATACTCTGATCTTAAGATGAACCTTTGTAAAAGGTTATTTAAAATAACATAAGATTTGAAAATAATTTTCAGTTAATAACAATTTGTAAAAAAGTCAATTAGTTTCACGTTTAAGGCGGCTTTTTTGATATTCGAGTAAACTTGCTATGTTACAATTTCCACATTAGTGACCTCTTAAATGTGAGGTTATCAGGAATTGTGTTTGTCAGTTTTCATTAAAAGAGAACACACTTAAAAAAAATTTAATTCAAAAGAAAATAGTTGTTTTTAATTAAAACCATTTAATCACATTAAAGTTGTAAGCCCCTCATTGCTCACGCCTGGCCTTTATTGCTACGTAGGCATCGATTATTTCATCCGTTTTAATACTATACTGGCAATGAGTACTTATTGTGTCTAAGCAATTGATCCTATTCTGGTCGAATTTTGCAAAAAAATAAACATTTTCCTTCATGCCTTAATCTAGAAACGCATTGTCTTTTTCTACTAAATATAAAATGGAAATATACCCGATTTTAAACAAAAACTCCATCAATTGATAATGTTTTATTCGAGTTAAAATTAAAACTTGCATAGACGAGCGCTTACCACTCTCAGAACAGTGAAAGTATTTTTCTAACAGTTCCGATTCCGTACGCGAAACTACTCCACGCTTACATATGTAGTTGTCTCAACTCAATGAAATTCATCAAAACTTATGTTGGAATATGTCTTTATAACAATTGAACAAGAAAATATATATAAATACTCTGAAGGCCCCTTTGCGTAATAACTCTGCATAAATTTGGTTTAATTATTAAAAAAAGAAAAACAATGACAATGACAGTAAATAAATTTAGAATTGGCACTTAAATTGCGTTGTGAAATTTAAATACATTACTAATAAAATACTAAATACACATGAAGCATGATGAGCGCTAAAATCCATTGCTAATCTCAGCATCTGTGCTCTTTCTATTACTATCGAAGTATGGAAAGTAGTACCAGCGTTGGTGTCGCGCGAACTCTTCGCCATCTTTCAAGGTCTGCCGTAATTTTCTGCAAACACAACAAATGACAATGTTCAATATTAGGAATATGTAAGTATATATTTATACATACTGGTTATTATTTCTGGCAAAGCCAAACATAAAATCGCACCCAAATATAATAAAATCGAGATACAAATGGACGGCAGTGGTTTAACAAAGAGATTACATAAGAGCTAAGGCTGCTGAAACCGAAGCCGGTAACTTGTATATTCGCCATGCCGCGATCACGTACCGAGGTTGGTGTAAATTCGGAGGCGTATTGGGCCTTCGTCTCGTAGCTCAACACGACCCCATAACGACTGACCATAATAGCAAGAATAGTCGCAATGCTGCTCCGTATCAAGTCTGTCTATCAGAAATTACCTGAACGGCCGGATTTGTGTTAGAACAAAAACTAGCTTTTGCACCACGATAACGCCCCTGCTCAGGCATCTTTGCTTGTGCGCGAATATTTGGCCAAAAGCAACACATTAATGATGCCGCACCTACCGTATTCCCCAGATGTGGCTTCCTGTTTTTTGAGGATTGAAAAAAACGGTGGCATAAGTGCATTATATCTAGGGGTGATTACTTTCAAAGAGACAAAATAGATATTCATGAAAAAATAAACAATTTCTTAAAAAATACAAAATTGACGATACTTTTTGAACAAACCTCGTACGCTAAACAACTTCGAGCAAACGCACTTATACACATATTAAGCTATAAACAACAATGTCAGAAGATAGATAGTTTGTTTACCTGCGCTTGTGAACCGTAAAAAGGTAGATTTGTAGTCTAAAATGTCACGGTGGGTAGCCTAATTTTAGGCGCTTTAGTTCATTCCCGCGTTAATGCCTCTTCGTGGGGTGCAAGTACTGGTAACTGTATGTTTATGTTACTGTTTTTCTATATTTTTTGCGTATTTCAAAAGTTAATAATTCATATGTGTGCGTTATTCGTCTGCATGTAATATGCTACTACCGAAATTGTAATACTGTGTATCGTTGTTTGTGAATTGCAACTTTTATAAAAGAATATAAAAATTGGCTCGACATCGGCTATATCGTCGAGAAGTGTGCAATGTGAACTTTGAGTTTGGGCATAAACTGCACGTATTTCATCAAAACTAGCGTTGGTTTTCATGATAGCGCCTGGTTGGAATTTAAAAATATAATATGCAAATTAAAAACAAAGAAACGTGCAAACTAGTGTATTAATCAGTCCTTAACTGAATTATATACATGCAACGTTTTATGACACTAGCGCCACTTTATAACACGGAAAGTGAAACAATCATTACAGTTTATTCTTTCAAAGCCGTATATAATTCCTTTTTACCGCATTTAACTTTTCATACTTAATATAATATTTAAGATTTTTTACCTCTTGCAATTCACTCCTTTGAATGTTTTGTCGAAAAAAAACATATGCTTCGATGAAGGGATATTCGTAATTGCGAAACATAACAAAATGAGAAATTGAAAACGACCGAAGTTGCCGCATTTCTCCAAAACAGCATTGGTGCCAAGCCCAGTTTTTTGATATTAATATATTAAGAAAGAAATTAAATTTTGCGTTGCACGATTTTTACTACCTTTCGACAAGCCTGCAACGCTTACACTTTCTCCACAGTTCATGGTCAATTAGACAATACTTGCAAAAACCATCCCAAATTTTCAAACACCACTATCGGCTTTGATACACTTCAGCCGGTTGCTAACAGTTAGTTGGCGTGTGTGTAGATATAAACAATGATGCTGCCATCGCACAGTGATTCGTGTACATGTGATTCGTGGTAAGAGAAGGTGAATAATAAATAAATCTCAGAATCATAATTCTAAGATTCTGATTTTTTAAAAAGAACAAGCAAATAATTTCTAAACTGTCATTTGATAAATGTAAGGAATTTTTTGAAATAAGAAGAATTCCCCATGAGTTTATTAAATAATTTCATGGATCCATCTATAGTGTTATACTTTCTTTATGAAGTATTGTATTTGCAACGGCTTATGGAAGCACATTTTGAGTATAAGTTTAAAAATAAATAAAAAATCTTTGTCGAAAGCTACACACTGTGCATATCCGCCAAAAGTCAATACTGAATCTCTGTTGTTAGATAATAAAAGCCAAAATAATCGTGAACTAAAATAAAAGGAGGAAATCAAATAGGTAACAACAACGGCATGACTTTTACTTTGGCCAACTGTTTTAAAGCTTGATAACATTAAAATTCTACAGCTTTCTTACAAAACCTGAACTTGCCTGTTTGTAAGTATATGTGAGTACTGGTAAATTCGAGCGTTGTGTGTGCGTGACTGTCTGTGTACTTGGCAGTTCATTTAATTATAAATAATTTATTGACCTATGAATTGTTGTCTTTGTTTTATATTTGTTTAGGTGAGGTTTGATCATATTTTCTACGCTTAGATAAAAGTATAGTAAGTAAGCTCTCATGCATTCTATTTTTAAGCTGTTTAAAAATAGTACATCTTGTTGTTAAGTTAAATGCTAATAAGAGCTCACTTTTATCCAGATTTTTGCATTTTTGCAGGAGAGTATATAAGAAAGAATAAAATAGCAGCAATATTTTAAAACCTGGCGTATGTGGATCAAATTTAGCTAAAGGAAAATATTTTTATATATCGCTTGAATAAGCGTAACGGGATATAGGAAATTTTTTTAAAATAGAATGACAGAAATCATATTTCCCTGTGTGAACCGAGTGAACAAAATCATTGGATTAATTGCCGATAATGAGCAACAAAGGTTTCCTTATGAGAATTATATATATGAAATATACAAAACAACAAAAAAAGTCTCTGAGTTCGGTTAAATGGAGATTAGATGTTTCCATATAAATTAAGCCATAAAATCTAAAGTATTAGCATTGTATATCAAAACAGCATAGCCAATCAAAACAGTGTTTATTAAAAATTACTAAGATAGATGGAATTCCAGTTTAAGCCTTGAATCAAAAAATTATATTTATCCATGAATATATCAACTTTAGTTTAGATAACTGAAATAATAAAAGGACACCAGATGACGGCTCAGGAATGGCAAATAACACCACATAATGTACTTTCAGTATATTTCCAGTTTAAAACCCCGTCAACCTCTGAAAATAGATCATAATCACAAACAGAAAATATTGTTAAAAATCGATAATTTTTACGAAATATTTTTAGAAGGCTTCGTCCAAGAGTTGTGGAGTTTAAAACACTTATCATACAGTTTAATAAATTAATTAATTACATTAATGGCAAGACTTCTCTGCGATCAATTTCATTTTTGATAACTATAACAATTACCGATAATTGCCATTAATTAAGTAATAACAGGGTTAGCCCCCTACATACTGTGTAGTATAATACTAAATAATGAAAAGATCAATTTATGTTTTTGAAATTAATATTTAATATACATTTAAACGAAATTGGCAGTTTTTTATCAGTTCAATACATATTGAATAAAAAAGTTGCATGCAGTGTAGTTAGTGTTACTTGGCGGTTATTTACGAGTATCCCATGAGATAATCTCATGAGATAAACAGAATTGCGTTGCTTTTGCGCAACATAATTTTTTTAACAGCAGAGCATAAAGAAAGAGAGTAACAAATACAACAAATCGTCAGTAAGTGAGTGTGAGCGTTGACAAACATCTATAGATAAAATAGAAATTGGAACAAAACAACAAAAAAAAGTTTTTAAAAACCGTGGCAATAGTTAAAACAATGACAACAATATGCGCAGCAGCCACACGACAGAGATATGTACAAGTATAAATAAAATAACAACAACTAGTGCACGCATCAGCAATTGCCTATCAACAAAACAATGCTTCGTCGTCAGCGACGCCGACACATTCGGCAAGTACTGCTCTTGAATTGATAAGAAGCACAAAGTCATACAGTTGAAGCTGCATATTGTGCTTACGACGTCTAACGCACACATACACACAAATCACGCACCACGAAGAGCATTTGTAGAGTTTTTGGTGCTCATTTCTGCTGATGCTGCTATTACATCCTTATTTGCAGCGCTGCCTCTCTGGCTATTTGGTGCGTAGCTTCGTAGATTTGCTGGTCAGTTGGATGCTGTTGCGCTGCCACTCATTGCATTGCTGATGCTGCTGTTACTGTTCGATTTCGTGTAACATTTAGTTAACAGCGAACTTTTAATTGAAACGGACGTGCGAAGCGGGTGAACTTTTTCGCAATTTCTCAAAATCGTGGATTGAGAAAATTCTATGAAAACATTTTTTTTTGTTCAAACTTGACAAATTGTGTTTGGTGTGAAAATTTGAATTCTATCAAAACTTCACGCAATGTTACTGTACAGTCAATGAATAAAAGGTATAAATGTGTAGAAAATATGTTTCGTGAAAATCCAATAGTGTGCCAGTCACCAAAGTCATTGCCACGTATCGCATAATGTTGTTGGGCATGCGTATGCACGTGTGTTTATGTCAACAAACATAATTCTCATTGTTTGGCTAAAATATGCTTGATGCGATTTCGCGTTGAAGCTGCCTTTGTGTGTACGTACGATTTTACTGATGTTGCTAAAGTTTATAGCTCAAACCAGCAAACAAGTAATCGCTTATTGTTTTTAATATGTGACGTATTTTATAAAAGAAATTAAAATGAATAAATCAAAATTATGAGAAAATCTTTTCATGAAAATTGTTTCACTCTGATATGAAATGAACAAAAATTGTTGTTAAAAATATCATATAAAAAACTGTGAAATACGTTGTCTTAATATTTATTATGAATATAACTTTTTGCTATATAATAATTGTTTTTTTTAAGAAACAGCATAATAATAATGTAAAAAAAAAAATATATATATATATACATATGACACGCACATAAGTAAAAGTTTTTTAAACTATAAAGATCATTGACGTCGATCTTTAAAATAGTGAAGTTAAGATTTCTACCCTGGTGCAACCACTACTTTTAAAATGCGCTGAAGCGCTTTACTTAATTATTTCTGTTAAGTCTAATATTATTTTAAACTAAACTTGAGTGACATTGAAAACAATTAAAAATTTTCTAAAAATCGGTTTAGAGTTTACAATTTGCATCAATAATTTTGTTTTAAGAGTTCTTCATTTTTATTAGGTTTTATTCTCAAAATACGCGAATTTTGGATGCCCTTGGAGAGATTTTTTTTTATACTTTTAAAAACATCATAAAAAGTAAGGAAGGGCTACGTTCGGGTGTAACCGAACATTTGATACTCTCGCAAGGGAAACCGATATACGAGATTTTGTTACCTCACACACTAAATTTGGTTGAAATTGGTCAAGCAGTTCCTGAGATATAGGATTTCACTTAAAAGTGGGCGGTGACACGCCCATTGTAAAACTTTTACACCAGCTCCCAGAAAGCTCCTTATGCGGTCCTGGTTGTGAAATTTAATAATTGTAGCTCTTTTATTCAGTAAGTTTTTGCAC